CATTGGGATAATCCGGGGGGTGGGGGGACATGGACCTGCTCCACTTGGGTCAGTAGGCCCGTTGCAGTGTTCCTTCTTTATGTTCTTAACTAGGAATTAAAAAAAAATGATAAAAAGTAACATACACAGTACATTCATTACTTACCTTAAGATATTTGTCGTCTTAACTCGTTAACTGTCCAAACGTAGATCTACGTTCTTACCGCTAGCACTCCAAACGTAACTCTAGGTTTTATTTTACCTGCCTCCAAATTTGGCATGAGTTGCCAGGTCAGCACAGAATGGGTCTTAACACTCGTTGTGGGCAGTATTAAAAAATCTGGGACTTGGTACCTTGTGAGAGCACCAGCTAGAGCAAACAGCACAGCAAACTGGGATTCACTCTTGTGATGTAGTATTTAACAATCCCATATAAAGAGGAAAGTAATGTTGACCCAAGTTTAGTGGCTTTCAAGTGGATGTGACCACAAGTGCTAGAGGAAATCTTAAAAACCTCGATAATAACCCATGTGAATCACCCTTTCAATTTTGGTACTACTGGTAGTGTCATTGCCAGAATCTCTTATAACCAATGCCCTAAGTAAAGAAACAATTCTGGAAGTGTAATGTGTTCGGCAAGCAGGCTGGCCAGCCAACTGGCTGTTTCTATCTCCGTTTGCATCTATATATACATATGTCTCACAGGTACATAAATACAACTATACATAGTGTAAAGTACCTAGGATAACCCCCAAAAATTCGAAGTGCTATACTGTGCTTGTATATAATGCGTAGTAAGCAAACAATGTATTTACACTTACTCAGGAACCAGACGTGACGACGCAGTTGTGTAATACCTGTTAGTTTACGAGTGGCTCTCACAGTAGCAGAGGCAGGTATAAGCAGAGATTTAGAGCTAGACAGACGTTTGCAAGTGAAAAATAAAACCAGGGCCGTGGACGCTCATCAAATGTCACCACTGCATTGTCAACAGTGGACTGGCTCTTGTCTTGCATCATGCTTCAAGGGAACTTATTATATACTCCTGTGTATCCAAAACATTGCTGGGACCTATAAATACTATGTATATATTCCTAGACAATAGTAAATGACCAAGGCAGGTGTAAATGTTCACCTGTCAGTGTGTTCGTGACAATTTCAGTATCTAATATTAGTGTCAGAACAATGATTGGCTATCAAATCACAAAAACAACTATAAACTGTAATTATCAGAACAAAAATTATACAATATAAAAATGAGGAAAAAAGGTGTATCGGCAACACTATGTTCCTGTCAGTTGAGCATCAAGTGCCAACTTCGTGGGCTCTCATGCTGGAAAGTACTGATCCTAATTTTTTTTTTATCCTGTCACATAGGAGCGCTGAGCGAGAGCATAAATCTACGTTTGGACAGTTAACTGTTAATTATAACGTAGTACTTATTTGTATGAAGACAAGTGTAGATAGCCGGTAGATGTAGGTATGTAGTCCGCCTGGGCTACACAGCTCCACATTCAATGCGGCCCAGAGCCATATTACCATTGACATACCATGTTCACAGAATTGTAAACAAAAGCATTATGTATTAAGATAAGGCCAGGCAGGAATAACATTATACAAGATTATAGTGTTTTTATCTGAAACAGAAGCTCAGTGTGTATTTTTATTCCTTCATGAACTTTGCAGGAGATTGATTGTTGTGCTGGAAAATACAGAGAACTATTACTGCAGATATGCACTTAAGCTTCTGAAAAGGGTCATGTGCGACAATTGATTTTTAACGAGGTACTTTTTGACAATGGAAGCAAAGACCTCATGAACCCAAATAAAAAAAAATTGTCATGTTACCCAAGCTTTCACGTTGGCCCTCCCCATTACAGCCAATTTTTCAGAACATCGTTCTTAAAAACTTGTGGATTTTCGGAAAGATAAACACAGTAACAGAGCGAACCTGTCTCATTGGTTTGTCCCCCACCACTGACTTCCTTTTAGGTTAGTGAACATCAATAGGTGATGAGGGAATCAAATGAGTTAAAAGAAAAATTGGATATCACACTAGAGTGAGTATGGAAGAAATTATGTTCAGATATTTGGGAGTAGACTTATCAGTGGATGGGTTTGTGAAGGACGAGGTAAACCACAGATCTGAAGGAAACGAGGTGGGTGGTGCATCGAGGTATCTGTGGAGACCAAGAACATTTATATATGAAGGCAAAGAAGGGAATGTACGAGTACAGTGGTACTAGTTGGAACATTATTATTATTATAATAAAAAAGAAGCGCTAAGCCACAAGGACTATACAGCGCTGCAGGGCAGGAAGGAAGCGAGGGCATCAGGTGGCAAAAGGGAGATGGATGAGTAATAGGTTACGGATAACAGCAGGGCAGTGGATGGTAAAAGGGTAAAGGGCAGCAAGAGACTGAACTAGAAAGGGCTGAGGGGAGTGCGAAAAGTATCATCAGAGTTTGTGGAGTAAATCAGTCGTTGTCAAGAAGTCAATGAGAGAGTCAGGATTAAAGGAGGGTCCATCAGCAAGAAGGGAAGGTAAAGAGAGAGTAGTAGAACGAAGACGACATTGGAGGTAAATTCTGCGTGCTCGTTGATAGAGAGGGCAGTCTAACAGAATGTGGCTAATCGATACTGGAACTTGACACTGCTCACAGAGGAACAGGGTGCCTCTCCATGAGATACCCATGAGTAAGACGAGTGTGACCAATGCCAAGGCGGGAGAGAGTGGTCTCCCAACCTCGGCACTGATGACAAGAAGACGGCCAGTAACCTATGCTCGGTTTAATAGAATGAAGTTTGTTACCGAGCAGAGTTGACCAACGTTGTTGCCAACGGGTGCGAAGGTGGGTAGCTATTGCAGCAAAATAGTCCAGAAATGGAATACCTCGATAGGAAATTGGTAGATCATGTACTGCTGACCGGGCAGCAGTGTCTGCCTGTTCATTGCCCTGTACGTCGACATGACCAGGGACCCAACAAAAAACAATATCTTTATGTTTGGTAGAGATACGGCGTAGCCAAAGTTGGATACGGAGAACTAGGGGATGAGATGTATCAAATTTTCGTATAGCCTGTAGAGCACTAAGGGAGTCTGAGACTACTACAAATGATGACACAGGCATAGTTGGAACAGTGAAAGCCACATCTGCCCAACTTCCCAACGATTTGTGCAGTCATTTTGCCAAATTTTTTTTCTAACCATGGGTCCCAAGAAAGTAAGTGCAAAGGACAGTGCTGAGGACGATTATGTCCATTGAATTAAAGCATGAAATAACAAAAATCGCTCTTCAGTTTTCCTTATGGAACTAGAGATTTAGTGGTTAGCCTCGCAAACACTCGTTTTCTCTTATAAGACCTCATAAGGGCAAGAATGGAAGATATGATGAGCAATTATTTTTTACCTTGTTAGTGGCCACCACCACTTGTCACTAACATTTTATTCCTTCTAGTATATATCACATTTCTGTTATTTATATTGTTCAATATGTCATATTAGATCAATTGTGATAGATAAGCAAGTCGTAGATCTAACAGCGTCATATTAAAGTATTTTCTCCTGCCTCCCGACAGCCAGGAAATTCTGCTGGAACAGAATAATGGCATTTCAATTAATTTCAATGAGGAAAATGGATCTGATACACGAGCAAATTGAGTTAAGAGCTCAGTCATGACGTACATGACCCAATAGTTGTGCCACCATTGCACACCACAATCATCCTGTGAGTTGTACTCTTAAGTCAAAGTACAACTGTATAGTGGAACCGACACTTATGGGAGTGAAGCATGGGTTGTAAATGCCGCAGCAAGGACAAGGCTGGAGGCAGCTAAGATGTCATGTCTAAGGGCAATGTGTGGTGTAAATACTATGTAGAGAATCTCTAGTGCGGCAATTAGCCGATGTATTTACTAAAAGTGTTATTCTCAGGAGGGGTTGTTGAGGTGGTCTGGTCATTTAAAGAGGATGGAGCAAACCAGATCGACTTTTGGAGGGTGTATAAATCCATAGTGACGGGAGGAAGGGTAGGGAGTCATCCTTGAAAAGGATGGAAAGGGGGGGGGGGGCCTGGACATGCAGCAGGCATGTGAGAGCATGTTAGACAGGAGTGAATGCAGACAAATGGTTTTTGGGACTGCTGAGCTGTTGGAGTGTGAGCAGATTATTATCATCAAAAAGAAGCGCTAAGCCACAAGGACTATACAGCGCTGCAGGGCAGGAAGGAAGCGAGGGCATCAGGTGGCAAAAGGGAGATGATTGTACGTGAATGATGGTAAAAGTGTTTTTTCCTTCTTTTGGGTCACCCTGCCTCGGCGGGTGACGACTGACATTTAAAAAAAATAAGGATTATACTCCTTGCTGTTCTATGTAAAATTTATTTATGTACAATTGTGTGAAGTAACTAAAATATGAAATGAATATTTTCTCATGCTGTAACAAAGCCCAGTGAGGTTTGACAAAGACCCATTGTAAACTGTGTAATCCTGTTTTTTTTCTCTTGCACTACAACTCACAGGATGATTGTGGTGTGCAATGGTGGCACAACTATGGGGTCATGTACGTCATGACTGAACATGCCGGCAAGGGCAGATGGGCCATGCTGGAGGGCGGGGAACACTCGCAATAGCTTGTAAGATGGCAAACATTCTAGTTCCAAATCCGAAGGACCCAAGCAACACGAGACTCACACCACTGTCCACAAGTTATCAAAACAGCAGAAAGAATAGTCCTGAACAGCTTACAATGGAATCTCGGGCCTCCACATGAACACACGACTTCACCAAAGGAATCAGCATGGCCAGGAGTATCACCAGATTTCCCAAAGCAACAAAAGGATAGTGGAGACCTAATCTTATAAGGGCAGTACTAAATGCAATTCAGATATGTAGAACTTGTCAGGATATGAACTGACCTAGTTTAATAATTTCTACTCCAGTTGCTTTGTAGCACTGAAGTTTTAATTTTCAAGATGTCGCACAGTAAAGTATTTGTATAGCTAAATGAAAGTCAAACAAATATTCTTTACATTTTTATTTAAGAAATATATTCACAAAAGCCCCATAGGTAATACAGCACCAAACACCATGATAGCAATGTCAATAGGGAAAAATCGACAATGGACTACCACCAATTTTACCTGGAAAAAAAAATTTTTTTTTTACAATACTGAAAATTAAAATTAGGGATTAAGTTACCACCTTAAAAGAAAGTATTTTCATATTAACCCTTAAACAGTCCAAACGTATATATACGTTCACTTGCGTAGCGCCCCAAATTTTTTGAGGAAAAAAGAAATCTTTTCTTTTAAAAGGAAAAAAGAGCATATGGTACCCAGGCATCCCCAATTTTAATATGGAACACAGTGAGTGCACACACCCATTCTCTCATGTCTAGGTGACTCGGGCTTATTGTGGCAATGTTGAATGAATGACAAAGAAAACGTATATATATGTTTGGACCGTTTAAGGGTTAAAAATGGTAAACCACCACAGTTTTACCATTGGAAATTTTTCCAATCATGTCAATTATCTAAATTAATTTTAAAACTTCAAAAAACAAAGCTCTGCTACAATATAAGCTTTCAATGTTAACCTTCCAAGGGTCTGTCCCATAGTTTTATGGCTTTGAAGCCAGGGTCCAAGCTGTAGTTGTATACCATGAGATCAGCTCACTCAGATAAGCTGTGAGCAGTAAATATGGGGCTAGATGCAAGAGAAATACATCTTGATAAATTAGACATGTGCAACTCTTGGGTATCTTTGAGGAAACGTTTCGCCACACAGTGGCTTCATCAGTCCATACGTAGAAACTTGAACAGGAGGAGAATGAGGTAATCAGTCCCTCAACCTTGAGTCGATGTGTTCAGTCCATCAATCTTGAATAGAATACAGCATATGAGCGGAGAAGCAGCTTATAAACCGTATGGCAGGAGAGGTGCAGCAGTCATAGGTGGTGTCACATTTGTTCAATGTGGAAGTAGGTCATGCCCAAGAATTAGGCAAGCGAAGAATTCCTAAGTATTAAGATCCCAAGAAGTTGCAGTCTGACAGGTTTGTAGATGAATGGTTCAGAGAACCGACATGTTGATAAATTAGACATGTGCAACTCTTGGGCATCTTCATTGAGGAAACGTTTCGCCGCACAGTGGCTTCTACGTATGGACTGATGAAGCCACTGTGTGGCGAAAAGTTTCCTCAATAAAGATACCAAAGAGTTGCACATGCGTCTAATTTATCAACATGTCGGTTCTCTGAACCATTCATCTACAAAGAAATACATCCATGTGGTAAGTGTGCACCACTTAAAACAAATCCTGCTGTGAGGAACTTTGCTGTGTTTTTTCCTATGTTTTTTACAATTGTATTTGCAGTTTCTTGGTCACATTTGACAGAAAGATACATTACAGAAATAAGAGATGAGTCTGATCGGTTTTAGTACTGAAAATGGCTTGAAACTGAGCTCAAAGTAGCAGAAATGTTCGATATTTGCAGACGTTCAAGAATAAACAAAGGAAGTCACATCCAATTCACATCAGCTGGTGGGTCTAGTGCACTCACCAATGTGCTGATATTTATAATTACAATATTGCACAACAGTAAATCTTCAAAGTTTTGTAGTGAATAAAAAAAAAAATAATTAATTTGAAAAACCGGGGAAACAAAAAAAAAGGGAAAAAAATATTTTTATTCAAAATTATGACTTTTTATTCAAACCTTTTTTGAACTTAAGGGGGCCAAATTCCATTTTGATTTTTTTGGGGGCAAATCACTTTTTTGGAATATAAAATAGAATTTACTAAAAAAAAAAAAATTTGGTAAGGGGAATAAAATGGCCAAAAGGGATCAGTGGGCAAAATTCCATTGGTTTCAAAAATTTTCTACTTTTTTTTTTTTTAAAGTTTTTTTCCCTTTTTTTTTTTTTTTTTTAAAGGTTCAAACCTAGGGAAATTTAAAAATTGGGCAGGGACCAAAAAGGGGATAAAATTTATTTGCCAGAAAAAAACATACTTAATTTGAAAATAAAAAAAAACAGTATTAATTTTAAAACTACAAAAAACAGAAATAACAAAAATTCAGCAAAATCTAGAATTTAAATAAATTTCCTAAACCAAAAATCTAAACCCCCTTAAAAAAATTTTCCTAAAATAGTTTTTCCCCTGCAAAGGGAAAACTTTTTCAAAAAAAAATTTTTTTAACCCCACATCAGAAAAAAAATTCCAAATACCCATCAACCCCCTTTCTAGACCAAAAATTTTTATCAAAAATTTTCCCCAAATTCTTCAAATAAGCCAAAAAACTTTTAATTACAAAAAACAATTCCAAAAAATTAAAGAATCAAAATTTTCCTTTATTTTTCTAAAAATTAAAAAAATACCCAAAAATTTTTATAAATAAACCCCTTAAAAATTTTTTAAAAAATTTTTTATAAAAGGAACCCAAAAAAACAAATTTAAAATTTATTTAAAACACTTTGTAAAATAATAAAATTTTTATGAAAAAATCACTTTTCCGTAATTTTGAATAAAAAAAACCCCCCTTTAAAAAATTTTCCCAAAATTTTTAGAACCACTTTTTTTAAAAAAAATATAAAATTAATTTTTATTTTTTCCATTTTAAAGAATTTTTGAAAAAAAAAAAATTATTTTTTTTTAAATTATTTATATAATTTTTCAAAAAATAAGTAAATAATAAAAAGTGGCCCCCAAAAAAGGTTTGGTTTTCCTTTTTTCCCAAGGGTTTTTTGGCTAAATTTTTTTCATAATTAGAAAATTCTTTAACGTGGCCCCCCAAATAGCGCCCCCCAAAAAAAATTTCCCGCTGCCCTTTGTAAAATTTTGCCCGCTAAACAAAACCCGTAAATTGTAATAATGTGGGGCCTGGTAATTGGGGTGGGGGGGGGGGGGGGGGGGGGGGGGGGGGGGGGGGGGGGGGGGGTTGGGGGGGGGGGGGGGGGGGGGGAAAGGGGGGGGGGGGGGGGGGGGGGGGGGGGGGGGGGGGCAACCCTAGGCCACCGTTTAAAATTTGTATTAAAAATAAAAATTTTTGGGGGGTTAACTGAAACCTTTTATTTTTTGAAAATCACCTCCATTTTAAGGTGTGTGACATTTTAAACAATTTATGGATTTTAACAAACTTTTAAAGGCGGGGGACAATCAGGGAAAAAAAAAAGCCAGTGCCCTTGAAGGGGCCGGGTTAAAAGGAAAGGAAGAAAAAAAAAAGGACTTGCTCCTAAGTGAATAAGGGGATTTTAACCCCAAAATTTTTCCCCTCCTCTTATAAATCCCCCTTTTAATAAAAAATTCTTTTCATCCTTTCCCTTTGTTTATAAAAAAAACTTTTTTGTAAAAATTTTTTTTTTTTCAATTTTTTTTTCCCGGAAATTTTTTTTTTTTTCTTTGGGGTTAAGGGATAAAATTTCCATAAGAAAAATTTGCCCGGAAATTGCTAGGGGGGGGCCCCTGAAAATATTAATTTTATTTTCTTATTTTATTTATTAATTATATATTTAATATATTCTATAATATTTCTATATTTTTTTAATTATATTATATTTTATATTATATTTTTCTATATATAATTTTTCTATTTTTATATTTATATATATAAATCATTTAATATTATATTTATATAATATTATTATATATCAAATATTTATATATATATATTATTTTCTATTTTATATATAATACTTATATATCTATATATATTTTAATATTCTATTTTCTTATATATTATATCTATATATATATTATTTATATATTATATCTATTTATAATAACTATATAAAAATATAATTAAAATTTTTTATATTTATATATATATATATATATATAAAATATAAATGTATTTCCCCATCTCCAGAACTCAAGCGGCCTGCGGTTTTCCCCTGAACCCCTTTAAAATGTTCTTTGCCCCCACACCCCAAACACACTCAAGTA